GGACCATTTTTGCGTCAGATTGTAAGTATTAATTTCTTTATCAGTTTCATAATAACATTTTGGATATCTTACAAATTGACTGAAATTGCATTTTATGCTTCGAAGGACAAATTCTTACTTGTTTTGAGTTTTGCACCCACAGCTCCGACATCGTAGAAGGACCATTTTGCATCAGATTGTAAATTATTAGAATTTCGTTATTATCTTCCTAAATAACTTTTTGTGATTCATCTCACAAATTGATAATTAATGCGCGTAAAAACTCAGGATTAAGATTTGGTTGCGCGCGTTTTCTTCCATTGGATATCTTCCGGTGACATTGAATTCCATTGAATTTATTGTTCATGATTTGTTAAACACATTTCGTGTAGCATCTTCAGTCATTGTTACTAAATAAATGGTAAATAGAGTTATAAGTTGAAATCATAATTTAATTCCTTAATACTTTTCAAATTTATTTTGATTTTATTGAAATAAAATAATAGTTGATATAATACTATCAAGCATATTTGTTTTGTGATTATAACTTTATCGTTCCGAAATAGATTTATAATTTATGTTTGTATGATGGGTATTTGTATGATGGTTATACACAGTCTTGTTGTTTTAAGGTGAGACAAACAACAACATTTATACCTGGAAACAGATATGGTCTTGATAAGTGAGCGTTGTGGCTCGGGTATGTGCGTATACTAGCATGCTGGAGGTTCGTGAATCGAATCTCAGTTGTAGAAGGAAGTTTTATTAAATATTAAGAAATTTACGAAATGTGGGTTGCATACCATACAAACATCAATTCAAGTATTAGAAATAGCGAAAAGCAGGGAAACACAACAGGAATGGAAATGAAGATGGTGGAGGAGCAGAAGAGAGCAGCAGGAACGGTAAAGAGAAAGAGAATACGGTACAAACAGAAGAGAATAGGGTGACGAAATTTTTAAATTTTTTTGGCACGTGTCGTTATAAGACAGTCTACGGTCGATCTCCCGACGCCTCCGGCGCTCTGATCCCGATCACTACACTGCTTCGATCATCCATTGCTCCCAGCCCATCCTACAGCTACGATGTCTCTACGCTTCATCCCCGAAATTATCAGGCATATCAGCAATTTTTTATGGTGGGGATCAGAGAACTCATATGGGACAATCATATAAGGACTTGTAGAAGGTATTTCTAAAGTGTCTACGCCCTCTCTCAGGCCGACCACAACACTGAGAAATACTTTTACAAGTTGTGACCTGTACCTAATGATATAGAAGGAAGAGGTTGCTGAAGTCATAAAACACAACCATTGCCTTTAGCATTTCTTTATTAACAAATTACATACAATCCAAGTTCTGAACTTGCAAGTTCAACAGCTATATAAAACCACATGACGTCATTTTAAAAGTATGTTTATGACCTGCATGAGTCGCGCTATGCTAACGCCTATCAGATTACAAATATAACTTGCTAGAGAAAATAGCAAATTGCGCCCTGTTTTCGCGTGACATAACAGAAAATTATAGCACGTAGTGTTGCAAAGAAAATCTACAATGTAAAAAGAAATGGCTTCAAACAATAAATAATGGCAACTTTTTTGCTGAGCAAAGAAAACTTTATATACAGGGTGTTGTCAAAAGAAAATCTTCTATGTATAAATAAAATCACCCAAAACAATAAAGATTGTGCTCATTTTTCGCTGAGCATAAGGAAAATTTATATACGGGGTGATATAAAAATAAAGAAAATACAAGTTCTATTACCTGTTTCCACCTGGATATCCAGGATACGTGAGAGGTGTAGGATAGTACATAATAAATAATACAATTATTAATAATAATAGTACTTCTTTTAAAGAATACTAAATCTTGAAAATACTTAGTCAGAAACTAGCAAAGACCTGAAGCCGATTACAAACAGAAATAAGATACAAAAGAAAGCAGTAATCAGGCGTCAAACGGAAACTAACGGAAGCGAATAGGCGGCCGACCGGAACGTGACAATATTGCACTGCTTGCATTACATCGTGGATTAAATGTACCATTTCCAGAGCTTCTACTAATTTGACTGATCGTTTTTTTTTTCCTTATCAGGTGATGAATACACATTTAGTGTTTAATTAGTCGAATAATAATATTTATATTACACACACCTTCTTACGTTTCGTAGATGAAATACTCCACAAGAGCACAACTGGTGCTGGTAATTAAAAATAGCATTAAATGAATACACAAAACAAAACCACTAGGAATTCTTAGCCGACGGGAGATAACCGCCGCCGACTGTAAACACGTGCGTTTCTTAGCCAAAAATCCGCAATTCTGGGTTCCATGCGCGATGTCTGAATAACGCTTTATACACCATGCTCATTCGGATACTTCTAAATCTTATATTTGTTGACCGATTTTTGAATTCAACTGCGGCTTAAAATCGCAGAAACGCGATTAGTCGCACGAAAATCGCCGATCAAGTAAACGCATCTTTACCACACGCAGCACCGCAAGATCTACTAAGTAAGAAATAGCACAAACGCACAGGCAGGCCGGACGCCCCGCAACGCGATAACAAAACTTTGTTTATGCACAATAGGGTGTCGATTATTTCCCACATTGATTTTTTTGTTGCCGCCCTCTGAAGTTTTAGTTTTAGCTCACAAAATAAATGATCCAGCGTAAATTGGCTCTTGTTTTTTAATTTAAACCGTGCCGGAATCATGATACTTTCCCATTTTAAATAACATAGGATTTCCTGACGTTTGCATTTAATTTTATCTCAAAATTAAATAAACCTACAGCTTCGACAAAGACATATTCTGATGCAAAATTTTGCCCTCTGCAAAAAGATCTCTTTGGTTTCCGCCGAAACATTCCTGTAAAGTATTAGCACAAGCACCGATAACTAATAGTGAGAACTATAGACAATTCATGTTGTGGATACAGTCAATGCCATGAAAGGAAGATTGTATATTGTAAGCATTACTCTCTTATTGGTATGAACAATATATCAATATATTAAAACAATATAATAAACAATATAATAAACAATATAATAAAATCCATAATTGAATAAGTCCAGTAGCAGAAAGGCGGTCACCGAGATAATCACAATTTGTTGAAAATCTGGGACAAAATAGAAAATGCCGTAACACTTGAGTTATATTGATAGTTATTGTGTATACGCACTTGTACTCGTTGCGCTAGGAATTGTAGTTTTGTTTATAACACACGGAACGCGGTCTTACTCCTAAGTTCCGGAATAATATTCTTTAAGATGCGGAATTTAATTCTGTAACTCCCGGTATCGAAATTTATTGCAAGAAAAATCCGTTACGCAGAGGTTAGAATTGATGATTGTGTGTATACGCGCACTTGTACTCGTTGCGCTAGGGTACTTAGTTTTATTGGTATAACTGCGCGAACACTTGGTGTCCAAATAGTTCAGGAATAATTTTCCCAGATACGAATTTAATTTTACATCTCGCATTGTTTTGAAGTTGTGCTCCAAAAATTCCGTAACGCGAGTTATATTAATAGTTGTGTGTATACACTTGTACTCGTAGAAGTGTCGGAGCCCAGAGCAGGAGTAGAGAGAAAACGGTAGAAGTAACTCGTAATCAAGATACCGTACGAAGGTAGCGGTAGAAGTGACTCGTATTCAGGACACCACGTACGAAGGGAAGCGGTAGAAGTGACTCTATTCAAACCATTACGAGGTAGCGGTAGAAGTGACTTCATTCAGGGCACCACCATTTTGAAGGTAGCGGTAAAGTAACTCGTGTTCAGGGCACCGTACGAGGTAGCGGTTGAAGCTTCCATTCATTTAGAGATATAATAAAGAAATTTTTTAGGGGTCAATTTGTAGATATTCATAAATGTTATTTAGGAAAATGATAAAGAATTTTTAATACTTACAATCTGATGCAAAATGGTCCTTCTACGATGTCGGACTCAGGTGCAAAATCCTAAAACAAGTAAAATTAGTCTTCGAAGCATAAAAATGTAATTTTAGGGGGTGGTGTAAGATATTCATAAATGTTATTTAGGAAAATGATAAAAAGAAATTTAATACTTACACAATCGTTGCAAAAATGGTCATCTACGATGTCGGACTCAGTTGCAAAAATCCCTAAAACAAGTAAGAATTAGTCCTTCGAATCATAAATGAAATTTTTAGGGGGTGAATTTGTAAGATATTCATAAAGTATTTATTTGGAAAATGATAAGAATTTTAATACTTACAATTTGATGCACGAAAATGGTCTTTCTACGATGTCGGACTCAGGTGCAAATCCTAAAACAAGTAAGTAGTCCTTAGAAGCATAAAATGCAATTTTTGAGGTCAATTTGTAAAAGATGATGCATAAATATTGTTAGGAAAATGATAAAAGAATTTTAATACTTACAATCTGATGTAAATAGTCATTCTACGATGTCAGGTCACGTGCAACATCCACAAAAACAAGTAAAAAAATTAGTCTTTCGAAGCATAAAATGCAATTTTAAGGGTCAATTTATAGATATTCATAAATGTTATTTAGGAAAGAATAAAGAATTTTAATACTTACAATCTTATGCAAAAAATGGTCCTTCTACAATGTCGGACTCAGGTGCAAATTCCTAAAACAAGTATTAAAATTAGTCCTTCGAAACATAAAAATGCAATTTTATGGGTCAATTTGTAAGATATTCATAAATTTTATTTGGGAAAATGATAAATAATTTAATACTTTACAATCTGATGTAAATTGGGTCCTTCTACGATGTGGACTGGAGTGCCATGCCTAAAACAAGTAAATATTGGTCCTTCGAAGCATAAGAAAATGCAATTTTAAGGGTCAATTTATTGGGAATGTCACAAAAGTTATTTAAGAAAATAATAAAGAAATTAAATACTTGCAATCTTCTGTAAAATGGTCCTTCTAGGATGTCGGACTCAGGTGCAAAATCCGTAAAACAAGTAAACATTAGTCCTTTGTATCACAAAAATGCAATTGTAAGGGTCAATTTATGAGATACTCACAAAAGTGAATTAGGAAGATGATATAAAAATTCAATACTTACATTCTGATGCAAAAATGGTTCTTCCACGATATCGGACTCAACAGGTAATCCCCTAAAACAAGCATAAATTAGTCATTCATAACACAAAAATGTTCAAATAAACTTAATAAAACATTAGGTTTTCCAAACAACTCCACTAGAGAAATTACATATCAACAAACGTCGCTGCGATCATCGATTGTTAAAAACACGAATAATAGAAATTCAAAATTAGTAAATTACAAAATAAACAACATTCGCACCATCAAGTTGTGGAAATTCAAATCACTTTCAAAAATTGCAACTCGTGCGACATCTATATTTGTCGACGCAAACTACTAGGAATAGCATGACAACTAAGAGAAAATAAACTAAAGTTCACTTGCGCCATCTAGTTGTGAAAGTGCAAATCAATTTACAGATTTTCTACTTGTTATACTAGCGACATCTAGGTGTGGTGGCACCAAGTAATATCAATAGCAGGACATTTGACATATTCATGGCGTACCCGAAGTTGCCTATAATAACATGTTTCAGAGGCTCGCTTTCATCACCGCAAAAATCAATAACGTGTACTTTGCGTGCGTGCCAATCGTATTTGTTTACCATTTTGCCATTACTTACATTAATCTCCACGTTAGCGATAATTCGATTAGGACCGCCTGGAACAATGGAAATGCAAGAACTGCACACATCTGCCCTGGAAAAGCATGAAAAAGCCAAACAGTAAGTTACTATTGATCAAATATCACATAATTAGTGCACTCCACCAAACATCAACTCGGATTTGTTTGTTTATACTATTTGTTTAGTAAACATATGTTTAAATAATGTTTAGAAGTTGTCATTACCATATACTTAACATATTCTGTACCTCTGTTGTAGATTAGTGAACCACTACACAAGATCGTCAAACTGGGATGAGATGAGAAGATCTCGATTCCATGGCACACCACTGCATGTAGCCACTGGGGAGTATATCCCGTTACAGGTGCATATTTTTAAATCTAGAAAAAGAAATTCAATTATTTACAATTCATTGGTTATTGGGATTTCAACAGTTAAAACTAAATGTAACACTTGTAATGCAAAATCTCAATATGCACATGCTGCTTGGATGACAAACAATGACTAATTAGCACGGATCACCCGACTTGAAACGCAACTATATCTATCCCAGTCAACCATCGCCCATTCCGGCATTTCAAATGCCCGGACAGTACAGTCCTAAGTATATCCCTCTACAGGTATGCAGATAATAACAATCATTGACTGAAATTAACACTTTTTTTCATAACTACAATGTTCTATCATTAGTTCTTTACCCAAAACTAATTTTCTGCTTTAATTGTTAAATAGGATTTAAGACCGGGTCCACAAATGTCTCCGCTTTCTGTGCGAACAGCAAAAACGCAAGATTTCATGAATCAAGATCCGGACGAAGCTGTGATTAAGATTTCCAGCATGTTTCCGACTGTGTCCGACACTCACATTCGACTTTTACTCAAAAAGTAAGTGTTGAGAGTATAAAAGCTAAAGAAACAAATTTAAAAAAGCTCACAAATACGCTTACCGCTGTTTCTGGTGATGGAATTCTCCGCTTACTGCTTATATTCTTGCTTTGTCCTGCTTTCTTTGGATATTCACAAACGTAAGGTATCATAATCGTGAGGCGGTTGTAATCAGCGCTCTCCAGGTGGAAAAACATCCGATTGTAACGCCCGGACCGTTTGCAACGCCGCCACCGACCCGGAGTATTCACATCCCGCTGCAGATGACACCCCCGCTGGGTGTACGCACCATGTCGAGGACCAGCAGTCCCACTTTGAGAACAACGAGCACTAACAGTACTTACACCGGGTCACCAAGGGTGGGCGATTATCGAAATTCACCGCGGCCGCATTCTTCACCAAAACTTAAATTAAGGTTTTCATTAATTAACACCCTTACTAATTAATTATCATTAATTATCTTAATCACCTATTAATTAATTGGAAATTGTTTTGTTCAGATACATGAAATCGTTATTTCCACAAGCGGAAGAAACAATTATATTGGACGTGTTAACAAGCAACGACAACAACATTCAGAAGGCTTCCGATACATTGAAAGAAATGGGCTTCAGCAAGAAGGATTCAGCTAAACTTAAAAAAATCGCTGATGAAGCGAAGAAAGTAGCCGAAGAAAAGGCCAAGAAAGAGGCGGAGATGGCATTTCCCAAGACGCCACTAGCTCCACCAAAACTAAAGACTCTAGCTGAGAAAGATAAAATTAAATTAAGTCTCCAACAGTTATACAAGGACATCCCAGAGCATGTTATCTCAATTGCTCTGGAAAGCGTACATTTCGACGAGGATCGTGCCAATCAAATTCTACAAATTATGGTGCAGGAGGACAACAAAATGGATAACAAAATAAAAGAGAGTCTAGACATTAAAGAGGAAGAAAAGTAATTAAAGTTAACTTAACCCATTTTAACCTAACATGTAACATTTTACATTTTTATTACTTAGATGTGAAGTGGATTGCCTATCACCACCTGTAATGGTTACAACTTCACAGAGTCGCCAATCGTTGAAATCGCTATTAAAGGAGAAGCCCGAGTGCAATAAAACAACATTCAGTAGGTAAGTGTAAGAGTTTGCAGCGACATTGTTGTTATCGTCCCATAATGGGTTACTAGGCTACGAACATGCTAATCGAGCAAAGCGATAAAACTCGGTCACAAAAGGGCAAAATCGATACATACATTACACTAGAGTTTCCTTACATCAAGATTTCATACATTTTACAGAGTTATTGAGGAGAACAACATGAACAGTGGCAACTACAAGTCGAGCAACTTATCCAACACCAAAGGGTCTAATCCCAGCTATGTTAATGGTGCCAATGAGAAATTACTCCTGTAAGTATTAAATATTTAATATTAGCCAAGAATATTTAATTAATTTTGTTATTTTTTATGTTTTAGTGAAGATTATATAAAATGGCAAGGCCCTAACGCCAAGTTAAAGCACGGCGCGAATCTCTCGATTGTCAAAGGACCAAACAAAGATCTGGTGGGTAAAAAAAACTACAAACCGTGCGGGCCTAATGCGGAGCTACGCAAGGGCGCATTACTAGGACTCGCTAAAGGAAGCATTTTCTCTCAGTTAAAGGTGGCATTCATGGGCGAGTCGCGCGGCAAATAGCATCCGACGTGCACTTTGATTTAAGCCCTTTTACACACACGTAAAAACAAACAAACCAACAAAAAACATACTTGCATACAATCATTCCTACCGCGTACCTGCTTTAACTCATGCCAAACAACACAAAACGATAATACTCGATGAATTCCATTTTACATTTTACAATTTGACAAGTTTTGTTTGATTCCGAAATTCAAACAAGATACGATAAGTTACCACACAGTTATTATGCTAGTCGATAAGAAGTAAAATAAAATAAACGTAGAATTTAAATATTAGTAGGATGATACGTGTTTCACGTTTTTATTTTCGCGCTAGGTAGGGTCAATTTATAATTCTGGAGGAAAAAGAAACAGAAAATGCTCGTACTACTCGTGATGAGGCTGTGCGTAGAGAATGTGTTAGATTTGTAATGGAAACAATGCCGCCCAAGTTCTGATAAATTCTGTTTTACTTAAAAAAAAAGAAACAACTTCGATTTAGAAAACTAACGTCCAAATTACTGCTACACGTATTTTTCTCTTGATTACATAAAAAACTTTGAATAAAAATATTAAACTGTGAGCAACGACGACTTAAATTTTGAATAAAACTTCATCCGTCATTGTAAATAAAACAGAAATGTTAAAATTAAAAGATTAGTTAAAATTAGCAAGAAAAGAAAAATCATGGTCAAATATTTACATTACAGTCGCATTTAAACAAAAACAAAAACCCAACAAATGTTGTAAATGTACAGAAAGGATCGATATTTTTTAAAATGTTTTTTGGACAAAACCCTTTCACTTGCATACAATACAACTTCATAGTATTAGAACATACAACATAGCCAATCTAGCCAAAAATAGCCGATAGATTAGAACAACTACAATATGTAGCTCCTAGATTAAAGAAAGCTGACGATATTACCTTGTTTTAATTAAACATTAACAAGTTACACACCATGTAACACTACACTAGTCAACAGACGAACATAGCAAAGAAGTTATTGTTAGTAAAAAATACGTAACTTTGGTTCTAACGCATGTGACGCATGATTTATCAATATGGCATATTTTCAGTGCAGATATTTTTGTAATCACTTGATGACAAAGTTTAATTGTAGTGTTTTCTCTGTATAGTTGAATGTATAGTGAACTGAATGTCAAAGAAATAAATAGTCCATCCAGAGAATTCTGTACATTTTTTTTTTCATATTTTTTAAACTTCATCTTCATTAAGTAACATGTTTGGTATACCATTACTGATTGGAAATTTCCTACCCGTTTCCGGACACACCAACTCGCCGTTGACGACTTCTACTTCTAAGAGTACATGATGTACTTTTTTGAGGAATTCTGTGTCATTCTCGAGATCCTGTGTGATTGCAGCTGGCAGCTCATTGACTTTGCCAATGGCGCCAGCTGCTTTAACCAGCACAGGCCAGTCGAGTTTCGGAATGATGCGGCTGATGAACTCCGAGTTGAAGTCGAGCTCGGTTACTTTTATATCTGTTGCCTGTGGGATTTTTAATTTGGGGTTTTGGCATGTTTTAATGAAATGTTGTTTAATATAACCTCAACTTACATGCAATTCTAGTGGATAGCCAACTTGTACTCCTTTCATTGCTTTTGATGACAGCATATTGTGTGTGAGGAGTTTCATTTTGTTTGTTTTTGAGATTAATTTCCGTCCGGATTCACCACTTATTTCACTTATAATTTTGTTTTGCGATTTGGATTTGCAGTTTAGCCGATTTGTGCAGGCGACATTTGTTTCACATTTCACATGCGGTTATTATCTAAGGCTTAGTTCACACAATATACAAAACGGACATGTTTTTCATAAATTTTAAAGAAATACGCATGTTTTAGTTCAAAAAGAGTGTGAAAAACTTATAAAATTTATATATTTAATTTAATTTATTGTATTTTTACTAATTAAATAGTTTTTCAAAAGTTTTAAATAAATTTTTGCATAAATATTTCCGCATTTTCAATATGTTACACCTAACCCCACTAATTCGTGACCCTAGCGGTGTCGCTGACATTAAAGTACCATTCCAATTTTCCACGTGTTTGCTACACTTCGCTGTTTATTAATTTTGCTCTTAATTTAAACAATTAATTAGTAATAATAATGGTAGTATTCACTTGTAATAATTGTGGCGACAGCCTTCAGAAACCCAAAGTGGACAAACACTATCAAACTGTGTGCAGAAGTATGAAAAACTTGACATGTGTTGATTGTTTCAAAGATTTCAGGTAAATATTTCCATAACTATACAATTTTTACAATAAACTAAATATTTAAATAATAATTTTAACAGAGGAGAAGAGTATGTAGCCCACATAAAATGCATAACAGAAGAAGAACGTTATGCAGCAAAAGGCAGCATGCCAAATGGAGTTGTGAAGAAAGGCGAAGTTAAGCAGCAAACATGGACTGACATGATTAGGAGCATCATTGAAAAAGAGGTCAATCTGAGTGTTGGTCTCAGGAATATGCTCAACATTGTTGGTGGCTATGTGAATGTTCCAAGGAAGAAAGTTAAATTCATTGTAAGTATTTTTATTTCAAATATATTATGAAGTTAATTAATTATTGTGCATTCTTTTGTTAACAGAACTTTATTACAAACAGTTTTGGACGAAATTATAGAAGAGAAGATATTGAAACTATTTGGGACTTGATTGAAAAGCACAAAACTGAACAATATCCATCCAAGAAAGAAGAAACAAAGGTTGAAACTAACATGGAAAAAGAAAATGATGAATCAACAAAAACTGCAACTAGTCCTGAAAAGGAAAATGGTGATTCAACAAAATCAACCAAACGAAAAGCCGAATCAAATAATAATAAAGAAACAGAAAATGATCAAGCACCGACTAAAAAAGCGAAAAAATCGAAGAAAAACGTTGAAAATGCTGAAACAAACAATAATAAAGAGAATGGTGTAAATGGAAATAACGAGAATACAACAGAAGTTAAAAAGAAGAAAAAATCAAAGAAAAATAGCGAGAATACCGAGTCAAATAATGTTAAAGAAAATGGTGTCAATGGAAAAGACGAAAATACAACAGAAATAACTAAATTTTCCTATGAAAATCAAATCTTAGAAATCCTCAACTCCAAAAAACAAATAACACTAAAGAAGTTACAGAAGAAAGTCCTCAGTGCATACACCACTCATCATGGCCTGGAAGAACACACCGAAAAACAAGTGAAGAAATTCAATCAAAAACTCAAAAAGATGCCAAACGTCGAAATTAAAGACGATTTAGTAACATTAACATAACAAAAACATTATGTTAAACTAATATCATAAAATAAACAATACCATAACTACTTATATAAAGTATTTTTTAGTTGAAATTATCACCACATTCACATCTTACAAATTTATAGTTAAATCATATTAGTTTGTAAATAATCATCCTCCTTCTCAAGATGAGTATTCAAAAACTCTTCAACTGAGTCAGTATTCCACTTTTCAATGGCAACGGTTTCCTTCAAATGCCCATCCTTGTTATACAACTTAATAATAGGATCTAAACCTCTGACATATTTAATCTGTAGATTGGAGAACTTTGCAGGTCTATCACTCTTGATGAATGCTTGGATTTGTGGATAAGCACCAAATTTACATGTGCATACTTCTAGCACTGCTTTGGCATAGACTTTATTGCCTTGTGCAGATTCATCATGGTGACAACATTCTTTGCAATGATCTCTGAAGATTTTTTTTCAATAAATTTTTGTTAAATTTAATTTAAAATTGTAATTTATGTTACCTTATTATATCCAAATCAAATTTGGGCAATTGATCACATGAACTGCACAATAAATTAGCTTTATTGAAGCCTAGAGCCCAACAATCTTCAGTCGTAAACTCTGCATTTACATTCAGAGCACAAAATAACTAAAATCAATTCAAATTGTTTATCTTTTACTTCCAGGTATTAAAATTAATATTTACCAATAATGTGGCAGTTGTGTAATATATTAAACTAGGCATTTTATTTGTTTAATTTAACTTGTAACACTATAATATGTACTGTAATGATCAAGTGCAAATTTGACGATGGATTCAAGGTTATGTACACTTTTATCTGATAAGTTCGATACTTTTTTCGAATCTGGTTTGGAATCTACCAAATAGTAAACGTGTAATAATTGTTACTCAACGCGTTTTATTTGTTTTTAATAGTACGTGATGTTTGCTGGGCAAATTTTTGTTTTAAAAGTACATAAAGTTATTTCCCGGATTGTGACCAATAGGAAGACGGCATGTCATTATATACAGAGTGTTACAATTATGTAAATATTTAATATTCGTTTTTTGACTGTAATATTTCATTGATTTCGGATTTTTAAACATAATAACACTTGTATTTCTTTGATATTTGTATAGTTTACACAATTTTTAATGTTTAACGTGTTAAAAATATAAAAAATGTAAATATTTTCTCAGAAATTTACGAATTTAACGCCTTGACGTCAGTTTTGTTCAATTTTTTTAAGATTTTCGATTTTTATTTCTTAATTCTTACTAAAATTCACAGTTTTGATCGATTTTATTAATTTTTGCATCCTAAAAACTTTCATGTTCTATAAAATTGCTAATATCAACATAACCAAACAAGAAACCTATCAAAACACCTTCCATCCACCGTGTTAATTAAATTTCCCGACATAACAAGCCATGTTTATGCTTGTGACGTGTGGAAGCAGAATCGCCGCGCGTAAAATCCATTACCGCCACGGGACGAAAATTTTTATCTCATTTTATGCCGAAATCATCATTTTCGAAACCAGTTTCAGGACATAGTTGGTGGTTTCATGTGGTTTACCACACAATGAACGCATATATGTGACCCAACCGACCCGAACCGCCCCGCCCGCGACTCGCTTCAGCGTCTGCGTCATTTGTGTATTTTTTATTTAATCAGCAGCCCGACCTTCGCTCTCAACCGCAATTCGATTGTTTCTTTTGCGGAGATCCGCGAGAGGTGTTGTCGCCTTGTCGCCTGCCTATCGCACCTTGCAAAAATCGCTCCTTTCAGTCGGCAAAAGGACGCGGAAACAAAAAGTCATTCGAACAAATAGTTCAAAAGCAATAGTTAAAAAAAAGTGCTAAGAAATTAAAAAAACCTGTCGTGAAAAGTTTTTTTCTTTTGATTTTATTTAATATCACGAGTGTCAGCGAAAGCTTGGTGGTGTAACGTGCAAAATGCGAATGATAAAACGAATATTTTCACTTGGTAAGTAGAAAAATTCATAAAATTTAATTTTTTTTATCGAAAAAGCATAAAAATCTTTTCAGAATTTCTACTTTTACCATTTTACACCTATAAACTCGTAGAAGTAAGTTAAATCTCAAAAAAACTTACAAAATATTAAACAAAATATTATTTTACAGCTATTTGTTTTTAAAAACACCAACACTCCAACCTCAATATGCATCAGATTAATCCTAACCTCATTTTTAGTCCCCCTCGTCTTCATAACCATCATTTTCCTATCAATTTACTACGAATTAATTGAACTTTACCTCCGCTATAAACACGGCAATAACTTCTATGCGATGTTAGATGGCTGTGATCGCATCTGGGTGGTGAAAAGCCCATCAAAAAATGTTATAAATGTCATCTACGCCATTGTTCCCAATGACAATCCTAACCTCTCATCTGAACTACTCCAATTTTTCGTTGATAAGTACAAAATCATCGCAAAAACGCACCCGAGATTCACTTCAGTGATAAAATCCTTCCTAGGATTGCAGTATTATCACAAAGTTGATCTTGATATCTACGCATGCGTGAAATACTTTGATGAGTATGCAAACACTGCCGATTTTTATAATCTCACCGAAGATTATTGTAATAAAGAACTGCCTAAAGGAGATACATATTTATGGGAGTTTTACGTGGGAAGGAAATTAATCACGTGGCATGATGGCACAGAAATATTACCATTGATGGTGAGATATCATCATTCCTTGGGGGATGGAGTAAGTTTAGTCACATTAATGACCACGCATTTATTACAAGATGGCGTTGAGATTATGCGAAAAAAGTGTGAGACTTACAAAGCTATTTTGACTAAACCCAAGAATAACACGAAAGAAAGTGCAAAATCAAATCCTGGGGTTAAAATAATGAAGTTGTTACAAAAAAAGTTTTACTATCCGACATTGAGTGCACCAGAAAAGGATAATTTACTCCATGGACCGGAAATATCCGGAAAGAAACATATGATTTGTTGCTGGGAGAAGCCGGATGCTAATTATGTGAATAAAGTGAAAAAGATTAAAAACTATTATAAGATGGCGTTCGCAGATGTAATTTCTACGTCCATTTCAGCGGCATTGTGTGAACATTTTTCGAAATTTTCAAAGGTAATGTATAAATGTTTTGTATTAATTTCATAATTTTTATATTTTTATGTTTTTTAATTAACAGATTACAACACCTAATATATTGACAATGAATCCATATTTTCTGATGTCCCCTGATTTTGATAAATTAGTGCAATTCAACAAAGAAAATATTCCAATTACAAAGTTGGGTAACAAATTTGCGATGGGTTTTACGCAAATGCCTATAGATTTGGATGTTGATAATAATACAATTATCAAAAGTGGAAATAATAATTGTTTAAAAGTGGAGGACAATGAATTACTGTCTCGTTTGTATTCTGTGCATAAAATCAACGACAGATTGAAGAATGCGCTGGACTTTTCGGTAAATATTATTAAAATATTGACTCTAATATACTATTCTAGTACTTATATTGAGTATCAAGTGTGCTAAACGGCATAAAGTACTTTAGTCACGGCCTTGGCTGTCCATGATTAAAGTACCACTTTTCGTGTCTTAAAACCGTGGATTCCGCGGCACTTTAAAGGTGGAAGTAATTTTTTTTAAGAATTATGTAAATAAATAATTATATACCAAGTGATTCCGTAAATTTAACATAACGCAAATATTTTTCTTAGTTTTGTTACTGGCAAATGCGAATGTTTGCCGGTTTACCCCTGGCGGTAGGAAAAATGCTTCTATTGGCAAACGACGCAAGTCTAAGCGTCTCGAATGTTCCTGGAAACACAACATCGAGACTAACAAACGGTTGCATTTTGAAGGACACATTTGTCTTTGGTAACAACTACGGAAAAGTTGGTGAGTGCAACAAATCCTTTCATTCACCTTGCAACGATTACAGACCATTATAAAACTGCATTCAAACTGCAGTAAAACAAATAAATTGCAAATTATTATTATGATGTAATCGTAATTATTCTGACATTAGTGTACAGTAGACCTACGTGTTTTTTAATGTGATATGTAATGTATATAATTTGCAGGTGTTTCAATTACGTTGTTTACGTACGACGAAGAGTTCCGTATTTCTTTGTTAATCGATAAGAGTTTGATACCGGAACGCAAAGATGCGCAACTATTAGGCGATGGAATTTTTAAGTACATTGATGCTTTGGCCGCAACACTACCTTCCTAAACTTCCAAAAATGGTCCTACAGCGTGGTTTTCTTTTATAAGTTTAGAAAATATTCAGTATTTGTTCAAAATAGGAATCCTGAGTAATGGATGTAAAAAATCTAGTTTTATAAGAAATTTAATAAATTTACTAATAAAATGTGTATTTCCTGTATTCCTTTACATTGAAAAATTAAATTCCTTGTCCAAAATAAGAAATAAGCAATTAAAAAATTAACTCAATCGTTTAGAGACCAATTTTCCATCTGAAAATTAATTTAACCGCTAGAACACTGAGTAAAAGATGTTTTAAAACCTAATTTTATGAGAAATTGAATAAATTTATCGACAAAACAATGTTTGTCTTTATTTTATAACATTTAAAAATTAAATCCTTCTTTAATCAAAAATACACATTAAAACCATTAACTTTATCATTAAAACATCAATTTCGGATCTAAAAATTAATTTAACTAATTAATTTAACCGAATATAACCTGATTATTTATGCTTATTATTGATTTCATTACCATTAAACTTGACTCAACCTCAGCACGATTAGCACCTTTCTAGACTAATTATTACCTCCATTACCTCCTTACCTACTAACTCTAGTTAACTAGAAATGCAAATCTCTTTAAACTCTTTAGATACTCAAGGCTACTCAAGTTTAATTTATTGCAATCCGGTGCAACGATTGTAATAGTTTTAAAATCAAAGAATGTCTCCACGATTTACAATATACTTATGTAGTTATTTAAGTTATTGATATATTTTATAGTATATTCCTCTACTTTACTGTAAATTATTTAAATTTTTTTCTCCAGTAACAACGGAAAATAACAAAACTTACTGTTAGATTATTAATAAGGTCCATAAATTGATATTATTCCAACTATTGGTAATACTATGGTCAAAGTTTATTCAATCATTATTTATATCATAAAATTAGCATAAATTAATATTAGAGAAATTTCAACTGTTCATTCTAAATTTATTCCGCAGATTATTTTAATTTATAAATATATGTAAATATTGTAACGTGAAACAGAATGAAATTTATTGTCGGTGTTAGTGTGCCAACTTCATTCATTCTTTATTCGGAGAGTCAATAATTCCGAAATCTTGAACCGAGAGAACTAGACATGTCTAGCAGGATGCTAATTTCCATATAGGTATGTCTGATTCCACAATGCGTGGAAAGATAATTTTTGATCAAAATATTTGTGAAATGTATATACTAGCGCCATCTATGATTGAGTTTTCAAAATAGCATCACCATATCTACCCATTTATACCACAGATATCTACTAAATACAACTAACTAAATTCAAATTTAAACTTTCAAAAAAGCTTCTTTAAAGCTGAATTCTTTTTAATAATAACACAAATTAAAATTTTACAAATATATAAAATGCTTGCACACATATATATTAATTGTATGTTTAAATAATACACATTGGGCACGTTTATTTGCGCAACTTGCAAACAAATTATAATTTAATGGTGAAAAACAACAAAATATTACTAATATTTTGTGTCTTGCATTACACGCATTAAAATCACACCCTTTTATTGCATATATTCCGTTAAACATCCCTCAATTTTTATCTAACTGCAATAAAACTCTAATATGCTTCTAATAAAACATGTTTTGCACATAACCTCCAAAATCGCTTCTCCTATTTATTTTCAAAAGTTTTTACCCTTTAAAATTACTAATAATGTCGGTGCCACAAGTAACAGAAAACGCTGTCCTCATGAAAACAGCACAAGTGGACTTTCTTAAAGAAACTGTCAAAGGCTATGACTTTAACGAAGGCATAAACTATTCAAAAGTACTTGAATCCTACCTACACACTGGCTTCCAAGCAACAAATTTCGGTTTGGCAGTTGAAGAAATCAACAAAATGCTACACTGCAGAGATGTGGCACTTCCCGAAGATATATTTCAAGATGCAGAAGATCCATTTATTAATGTCAAGTCTAATTGTACAATATTTCTTGGCTATACCTCGAATATCGTTTCTAGTGGCTTGAGAGAAACCATCAGGTTCTTAGTTCAACATAAACTGGTAATATTCTTTAGTTTTAAACAAATTTTAAGCTTAATGCACATTAAAATCGATAATTTTATGAAATTTCATTGATAAAAGTGTTAGAAACTTCAGTAAAGGCAAAATTATCAATGATTTAGTTAAAATTTTAATTAATTTCTTTGATAATTTTTGATATTCAACTAATTTTAAAGAAATTATTGCAATAACATATGTGTAATTTAATGTAGAGTTGTGTACAGAAGAAATTATGTTATTTACTCAAAATATTTCGAAATTATCCACAAATAACTACTTTTAGACCGTTATTCTTCACTTTCTGAAAATTTCATCATTATACAGAGTATGCATTTAAATTTAAGGTAGACTGTATAGTAACCACAGCAGGAGGCATAGAAGAAGACTTCATAAAATGCCTAGCACCCACCTACCTAGGCGATTTCAACCTCAAAGGACAAACATTAAGAGAACAAGGCATAAATCGAACCGGTAATCTCTTAGTGCCCAATGACAACTACTGCAAATTCGAAGATTGGGTAGTGCCATTATTAAACGAAATGTTCAAAGAACAAAAAGAAAACGGAACCATCTGGACTCCAAGTAAAATAATCACCAGACTAGGCGAAAGAATAAACAATCCAGAAAGTATTTATTACTGGGCTGCAAAGAATCAGATACCTGTGTTTAGCCCAGCGTTGACCGATGGAAGTCTAGGCGATATGATATTCTTCAGATGTTTCAGTAATCCCGGATTTATTATTGACATTGTTGATGATTTGAGAAGGTTGAATATGATGGCGATCAAAGCAAAGAATACAGGGGTTGTTATCATAGGCGGAGGGTTGATTAAGCATCATATTAATAATGCTAATTTAATGGTAAGTAAACCAAGTATTTAATATCTTAATATTTATGAAGAAAATTTAAATTTTTTGATATTTTTTTAGAGAAATGGTTGTGACTACGCGGTGTATTTAAACACAGCATCAGAATTTGATGGAAGTGACACTGGTGCACGACCAGACGAAGCTGTATCCTGGGGGAAAATCAAAAAAGATGCCACGCCAGTTAAGATTTACGCTGAGGCAACACTTGTTTTACCTTTGCTTGTTGGCGAGACATTCGCCAAATATCATTTTGCTAAATTAAATAAAACTAAAACTTAAAAACCTCCAAAATGTTGCAATGCATGTTTTACTTTACTGTTTGCATAGATTTTAATAAAATATTTACTCTAGTAGCATTATTCCCCGTAAAATAATTGTGATTTGAGTAAAATTACTCATTTAATTAATAAATCTTACTCAGACAAGATTTATTGAAAGTAATTTAGTTTAAAATATGACATCTATCAATGAAGCCTTCCAAAATTTATACAAACGCACCGAAAGCGTTGACTTTTTAAACGAAAAAGTCGAAGGTTATGCATGGAAAGATGGCGTTAATTATTCAAAAATACTTGAATCCTACCTTAAGACTGGTTTCCAAGCGACGAATTTCGGACGGGCCGTGCAGGAAATCAACAGGATGTTGAAACTTCGCGACTTGGAACTGCCTTCTGTGCACACAAACATCGATCCCGAGGATGAATTCATCAGCGTGAAGACAAACTGCACGATATTTCTAGGTTATACTTCGAATATCGTGTCTAGTGGGTTGCGTGACACTGTTCGGTTTCTAGTACAACACAATTTGGTATGAAATAATGAATATAATGATAAATTCAAGTTTTAAATAAAATTTCTAACCGTTTTTTTGTTGGTTAGGTTGATTGTATTGTAACGACCGCCGGCGGAATCGAAGAAGATTTAATCAAATGCCTAGCACCAACTTATCTAGGTTCATTTACGCTTGCGGGGCGGAATCTACGCGATAAAGGAATCAATCGCACCGGTAATCTACTTGTCCCGAATGATAATTACACGAAATTCGAAGCATGGATAATGCCGCACTTGGACGCCATGCTACGCGAGCAGAAAGAAAATGGCGTCGTGTGGTCGCCGAGTAAAATAATCACGCGACTCGGCGAACAAATCAACAACGAGGAGAGTATTTGTTACTGGGCAGCAAAAAATCGCATACCTATCTTTTGTCCAGCGTTGACCGATGGTAGTCTAGGCGATATGATATTTTTTCACGGCTTTAAAAACCCCGGACTCATCGTCGACATCGCAGCCGATGTGAAAAGAATCAACTTGATGACAATCAGGGCTGCCAACACCGGCGCTGTCATTATTGGTGGTGGATTAATAAAACACCACATCAATAATGCCAATCTTATGGTAAGTCGAATAACCTAACAAAATAACCCTAAGTTTTTTACTTTTGAATCTATTTTTAGCGTAACGGCAGTGATTTCGCTGTTTATTTAAACACCGCGGCGGAATATGATGGATCCGATGCAGGTGCAAGACCTGACGAGGCTGTATCCTGGGGGAAAATCAAAAAAGACGCTAATCCGATTAAAATTCATGCAGAAGCCAGTCTTGTTTTACCGTTATTAGTCGGAGAAACTTTTGCAAAGCATTATTTTAACAAAATTAAGTGATTTTAAAGTTTGTATAGACATATTTATGTGTATTGCAATTTTATAAATTTAAAAATAGAAATAATATGAGTATTAAAGCAAAAATATAAATTTTATCATCTTAGAGATGACTTATAGGAAGTACAAATGATCTAAATATTAGAATTAAACGATATTTTACTGTTTTTGTGTAAATCTTCAAAAATGACTTGTGTGATCATTGTTTATTGCATATATTTTGTATGTCGAGTTTTGATATGCATTTATATCTATTGAAATGGAAATATTGACTTTAATCATTCTCACACAAATCATTTTTGATGTAATATTACTCATAACCTTACTTTGAGGTTAGGCTTGAATCCTCCGTGATAATTCCACAGCTTTACTGAGTATCTTCTGCACGTCCATGGACCACACGTTCTGGAGAAGTTTCAGATTGGACGGAAAATCACCATCTAACAATTTATCTCTGCACAAACTTCAAAAAACAGTAAAATTAAGTTAAAATTTTAAGGTTATGATATGAACACTTACATAATCATGGCACAACAGATATAAATCAAGAACTGAAACCGCTGCTCATCCGAAAATAACGAATCCCATATCCTAAGCACGTCCGGCAGTGGAAATTCCTGCGAGAGAAGAAGTGTAATCCACCGGAAGCTGTAATATTGCGGATACAACTTCTGTTCGTTGAAACGCTCGCAGATGGCGTTGTCAAAGTTACGCAGCGTTAGCAACAGTTTCGTCATCATGTTATTGATGCCGCATTCAGCCTCATCTAGTGATTTGATGAAAAAGTCACGGATTTCTGACATCAGATTCGTGAAGCAGAAGAAACAATCGGCTTCAGCATGTTCTACATCAAAAAATAAATAAATTAAACAATTGAATTAGAGAAAAAAATGTTTTTTTTTAGGTTACCACGCGATGATAAGTCAGGATCACACGCAAATGTGTAGTAAATCGGTCCTATAATCTCATTCATTCCTTGTACATAACTCTGACCGGGATTGAGCTTCGCATAAAGGAATAAAACCCTTTCCACGACTTCCCAGTGAGCTTCCTGACCTTCTGTCATGGGTGCATAGTCTTCTGCGGCTTTTTTCACCGATAAAACAATCTATCAACACAAATATAACCTCAAATTAATTTAATATGTTATTTTATGTCAAAATATTGAGGTTGTGCATTACCTGCTACTAATATCAAGCGTAAGCATATTAAAATATAATATTATTATTATGTTTTGTGTTTAGGTTATGTATATTAATGAATTTATTGTTATTTTTACCTTTGTGATGCCTAAACCTTTGCGCTCGACATTCGCGCATTTGAGCACGCTTCGCTGCACGCGAGTATGCAACCTTTTAACCTCCGCACTGTTCACGATCTCTTCGCAGGGAAATTCGCATGGTTGTTGAAAAAACGATATATCTGGACATAAACGGCGCACATCTTTGTCAATCTGCAGCAGGACTTCATTGTCTTTGAAATACGTCTGCCAGGCGCTATCTGGTTTGATGTTAAGTGGGTGGTCTAACCCTGATTCTATGTCATTGTCTTGCGCTCCGGGAATCACAATTAAATCTTCTACAAATCCAAAAAAAACATCAAATAACTATCTTTAAATGACTTTAAAAGAAAAACAAAATGTCTGCGAGTTGTTTTCTTATGTTTACCTATATAATTCTTGTAAATTTCGCGTTTTTTCGCCAGAAAAGAACTCCATGTCTTCCTTTCAAGTGGCATATAGTTGAGCAACAGTTTCCAACATAATGCCCGCTTGCCAGCGTCTTCTGGTATACCTACAGATACAATTTTCGCATGAATTCTTACTGATAACACCTGATAAACGTGTAAACATGACTCAGATTGCATGTTTGATCGCTTTTCACGCCCCTACCAACCTTGAAAGCAAAAACGCTTCAACTTTTTCAGGTCAATCACGTCCTCGTCGAGAATTTCATCCAGCTGAAGGATCCTACAAGTGTGCGAAATGTTTAAGTCAGAAATACGGGTAAATTATTTAGTTTTGCGCCCACCTCGCTTTGTATGCCATCGTTTGACACCTCTCAGCTGTTTTCCTCGACATCACGGCCAATTCACATACACACTGATGCAGGGAAAACAAAACACGCTCGACAAACAAGATGGCTTCACAATAAAAAAGAAACAAACAGAAATACATAGTATTTTAACATTTAAAATTAAATATATAGCATATTAAACTAATCTGTAGTATATTATACAATATTTAAGTGTTTTTTCGTTGTTAAACACTTAAAAATTAATTATTTGGTCTAAATTTCTTCTTTATACACTCACTATATTATTCCAAGCTGTCAAATGTCAAAGTCGGTGTTGATGACGGATGTCAGCTGCTGTCAGCTGTTTACTTTCAAGTTTCTCGAAGCTTTTGTCCATGTCCATACGCTGGTGGCGTTTTGGGTTTGTGCATAACTGCATAACTTGACAAATTACTAGTGTCAGAATTACGCTGCGATGCAAGTCACACGCGCTTCGCGCACGCAAATTCTCTAGTGAAGACGCGCACGCTCGTGCTCATCACGTCTCGCATCAGTCGAGGATTGCCTAGGTTACCCTAGAATCCTCCAGGATACGCTCGCTGCGGAGTGGACTGGGCCGACAATCACCACGACCATCTGGCTAGGATGCATCTGTTTTAGTCTGGGGTATGAAGTGAGAAAATTATCGAAAACTAACAGGTACACAAACAATGCGAAATGCATATAGTGAAGAATAGTGATCTGAACGACAACTTGACAGCGTCCGCCATGTTTTGTTGCAATTTTTTGTTAATTACTCACGAACTAATTGTGATAGCGTAATAAATCTTTCGACATTCGATAGAGAATTAAATTTTCTATTAACTACAATAAAAGTGAGTTTTTAGTATTTACGCGGACATAGTTACAAGCAAAACAAATCAAGGTCAGTAAGTTTTGTAATATTTTTAGTTTTTTGTATATAACTTTTTATAAAATTTAAGTGCAAACTTTATTTAAAAACACATTAATAGAGAATTTAATTCTGTATTAACAAGTGAAAAAATATTTATTCTAACTTTTATAGTTATTGAGTTATGAACAAAAAACTATAAACAAACAAGTTTACCAACTTTAAGATCACGATTCGTCACTTATGTTACCCATCCATATAACTACGTCACTGTTAATTCTAGAATGTTATTTTTAGTGACTTTGACTTGGCATGCGTGCGAAACGTAGGTAAATGCTGCACCCGGAAAAGATGTCGCGGACGTGCCTGCACTCGCGCGCCGTCCCCGCCGAGTGCTGCGCATTCTGCGGCCTCGGAGCGCCCTCCACCCTGGTGGACGCCTGCTTTGACTACATCGTCAACAATCTAGAATGCCTCTGCGATCCGGCGAGCCTAATGGACAAGCTGATGCTCAAGTGGCACATCACGCTCCCAGTGGAGATCTGTGAACGCCTTCTGCACACGCGCGCGGCAAAAACTCCCAAACTCATAAATCACTTTGTGCAAATCTTCACCGATCGACAAGCGACGCGATTAAAACGAGTGCGTTTACGAGGTACGAATATAACCGACGAAGGACTCTGCATTCTGCTCGCGCATCAATTGACAGAACTAGACTTAGCTGATAATCTATTGGTGAGCAAGGATGCGATTGCGCACATTTCATCCGAAGCTTCCTCACTGCTCAGCCTGACGATCGGCGAGCAAATGAATTTGTTTCCGGCGAGTGCGTTCGGCGACAACATCGAAAAAGAATACCAGGATAGGAATTATATTATTTATGCGCCGAATCTGCGCCGGTTGAGTTTGAGGAAGCTGGCGAAGCTGAAACCGGTGTTCTTTCAGCTGCTGTTGAGTCCGATGCGAAAGTTACAGCATTTGGATTTGTCCGCTTGTGGTGCGTTAGGCAACTTTAAGTGCATGGCACACTTGTCCAACCTAACCTCTTTAGTGTTATACAATGTGGCTAAGATAGAAAAAGGAGTATTAGTGATTTGTACGTTAAAAAACCTGCAGCATTTGGATATATCCCAGTCGAAGGATGAGAATGGTAAATATGCGAACGGCACCGGGATTTTGACGTTGTTGATTCATTCGTTGCCGAAATTACGATCGTTGGATATTTCCGGGACGAATCTTGCTGGTACCGGCGTTGCGGAGAGTCCACAGTGTGTGGATTGTATTGGGAGTCCATCTGCAGGCACGGATATTCCTGGTTTGGCGATGCGCGTGCATAATCCACTGCAGTTTATTGGTTTGTACGAAACTAAGCATGATGCGTGTTTACGACATGATATTCCTGCACAACTGGTAGGCAACCAATCATACATGAATGTTTTGTGGGTTAAAAACGTTGATTTTTTATATTTTGTTCTAGATCGCTGGAAATGCAAACGAAGAACAGATTTTTATCGCTGCGTTAGCTTATTTGGACCGTGCCGAAATGCTGCAGAAAGTTTTGAATGAATTATTTCATCTGTTTCGTTATGAAACTTGTAAACATGTCGGGCAAGCTTTGTACATTGTATTAGAGGCCATGAATCGCCATCCGAACGAACGCCATATACAAATTTCAGGAAGGTAATGATTATAACCTTAAATTTTTATGTTTTAACTCATTTTATGCGCGATTTTTTAGTGCTACATTGTTTTACATCGTCAAGGGAACAGGAAAAGAGCTGCATGAAGTGATGCAGGTGAAGCGGCGCATTATAACCACACTTTTGGACGCCATGTGTGTGTATCGCTATGACGATACGATGATGCGCAACGGTTGCCTAACTCTGTGCCAGTTTAAAATACCTGACGATGTTGTAAGTCACTTAACAAATTTATATTGCCTGGGCTAAGGTTATAAACGAACCGTGCATGAATTTTGTTTGTGTTATTTTTTAATTACGAGAATAAAATGTAAATGGCTCACCGGAGATGTATACATCACATTGGTATGTTGTGCTTGTAGGTGTTTGATTTTGAGCGACTGGTTATTATTCTGCTGCATTCCGTGCAGGGCATGGCGCAGGAAAGTTTCGTTCAACGCATTGGTATTTATCTGCTGAATTCGCTGGCTTGTCAAGTCGATGCGATCCAGAAGATAAAACTCGGTGAATTGGGGGTTATAAACGTAAGTGTATCACACATGCAAATATAGGCAACCAATTATACATGTATTTTGTTTTGTAGAAAATGTTAGGTTTAATCGATGATCGTTTGGATCGTGGATTGTGTGATGATGTTCTTGAAGCGACGTGGTCAACGATGTGGAATGTCACCGATGAAACACCAGCGAACTGCAGTAAGTTTCTAGAGGGCGCTGGCATGGAATATTTTCTCAAGTGCCTCGGCAAGTTTCCCGACAAGGAGGAATTGCTGCGTAACATGATGGGTTTGTTAGGCAATGTCGCCGAAGTGCGCGCGCTGCGCCACCATTTGATGAACCCCAAATACATTGCGGTGTTCGCGGCGCTGTTGGATAGTTTAAGCGATGGTATCGAGGTGAGTTATAACGCTGCGGGTGTTATTTCACACATAGCTGCTGATGGACCAGAGGCATGGACGGTGGAACAGCCTAGCCGTGAAGAAGTCCTCTGGAAAATGGTGACCGCCATTGATAAATGGGACTTGCGCAGTGATCGCAACATTAATTATCGCTCATTCGAGCCGATTCTTCATCTGGCGCGGACGTTTGAGACCCCGGAGTGTCAGCAATGGGCAGTGTGGGCTTTAGCTAATCTTACCGGCGTTTATCGTAAGTTTATCCGCCATTTTGATTATGAAAAATTTTATTTTAAACTGTTTTTATGTTTTGCAGCGGAAAAATACTGTGATGTAGTAATGAGTGAAGGTGGCATGCATCTGCTGGACGAAATCATTGACCATCCACTTCCTCCGAGGAGAGTGAAGGAGTTGGCACACATTGTAATCGAGAATTGCCGCACGTTTAAAGAGCGCTGTTGCATGCTGGACGGGTGAAACATTGGACGAGAATCGCGCCTTCCATTCGCAGCTTATTATTTTACCTCATCATGTACCTCATCGTTGATTTCCGATTTAATATTCTGTAACAACTCGATAACTTTTTGAATCCCTTTCTAGTTATATTTATTTTTTATCAAGTCCGACTTCTTTGTCATATGATGTTATTTTTTATACCAAACTTGCGCGATTTGAAGCGAGAGGCGTGCAGATCCGTGACGAGATGGTTGTTACGCAGGTTAAATATTTAGATATGTTTTTTTGTTTGTTAAATTATAATTTTTTTAAATATGTCGTACTAGGACGAGAATTATGCGTATTTATCGAAATGCCCGAGGTGGAGAGATGAAATTGTACAGAAATTCTCTTTGCTGCTTTAAAAGAGTACCTATGTTATACATTATTCTATAAACAAATTAAAACTGATTTCGATACTAAAATCTTGCTTTTTATTGTGAACTGGAGTTTTATTTACTAAATTTTGATATTTTATTATTGGTACACTCGGTTTATTACTAATACTAGAATTTGACTATAGGCAACCAACTAAACAGTTTTTTGTTTAAATTACTGAAAAACGATTTAAAATTACAATTAAACGTTTAAATACTCATAAGAATTAATTTATTTGTATATTATATTAATTTATGGCAGCAAAATCAACTTATAAATGAATAATATTAAGTATTTTTAAAAATTAATTCCTAACCTTCAAATTTACAAAGACTCAAGTAAAAAGCGGTTTAAAGCTGTTGTTTCTATGATTATTGCACAAAAATGAATAGAGGAGCTCTAGATTTTTTACAAACCTACGGCGATGATGATTTATCGGAGGATGACATTGTGCCAGGACCAAAAGTTTCGACAAAACGTACACACAGAAGTGATTCAGAAGATGAAGAACCAGGACCAAAGTATTTATATAAACAATTTTGTTTTTAAACTAGTAAGTGTCACTTTTCTATGTTTGTTTATTAGATTGCCAGTGCCTGCTTTGTTTAAAAACAATAAACAACAAATAAATAGTAATTCTGAAGAAAATAATGGCAGAATAAGAAGTTTTGCACATGAAAGAGGAAATTGGGCTACATATCTCTACATTCCTTGTAAGTAATAAATAATTGATGAATGAAAATTTAACTAATTGCTATAATTATTTTAGATATTAGTAATTATGGTGTAGAGGAGTTGATAAATACAATTAAAACTGAGATTCAACACATTGAATTGCACCCTGTGGATCATTTTCATATAAGTTTGACAAAAACCGTTATTTTGAAATATCACTGGATAGATTCCTTTGTTTCTACGGTTGCGACCAAAATCAAAGGATTAAGAAGGTAATTTAATTAATTACAATTGAGAAAAGTAAGAGAAATGATAGTGTAATAATGGTTGCCTACATTACTTTAATTTCCTTGATATTTTGATATTTTTCTTTTAAAGGTTCTTTATAATGTTTGACTGTTTTCAAATATATTGCAACGATGAAGGTACAAGAACATTCATAGGACTACAGACAAAAACAGGATATGACTCTCTACTAAATGTATCAAAGATTTTAGACACATGTTTGCAAGAATATAGACTGGAAACATATTATAAGGTAATCATAGAAACAATCAGTAATTGGAAACAAAACAAGTATTTCTACTCTATTTTCAGGACGCTAGTTTTCACATGAGTATAATGTGGTGCCTTGGCGATAAAACAACCGAATTAAAACAATTTCTACCCGCCATGAACGAAATCTACCGAAAAATCTGTGACAACACCAGCGATTGTTGGCACATCGACGTTCAAAGCATAGAATGTAAAACAGGGAATAAATTATTCACATTTTCTTTTAAAATAATCTAAATAATATGCACAATATATTGCAGCACTCGGTTTATATAAAATGTAAAAGATTCCCATCGCTAGATGCCGCTGCACAAACTTTGTTTATTCTGTTAATCAATCATTTGTTTACAAAACAAAACCGCGTCGATTCAGTTAGTACTCAAGTCGACATCGATTTAGCATTAACTCATCATTAATATTCTTAATAGTCTGCTGGGGCGGTCCGCAACAGGCTTCCGCAGCGACTAATTAATGTCGATTAAGAATGTTTTTCAATGCATTAGGTTATACGCAATCTTAGCCATCCTTGTCTGTCGCATCAAAGCGTGTGTGCACACAGCCGCATTGAAAGCAAAAGCTGTGGCAAAAGCATCAAAGCACTCAAACTGTTTCGGTGCCCGTAGGTGTAATCTCATCATCGGAAATGAATTTTTCCATCGGCTGAAAAGAATCGCCGCCGCAAATCGATTTCTTCCTGTTGGTTGCCGGGTTATCCACCGAATAAACACTACAAACCTGTGAATGTTAATTATAATTAGATATATGCCCATATCCGCTCGGAATGGAACGAATAATCCACGCGTAATTTTCGGTGACGAATAAAATCCGACGAAATGTCATGCTTGCAGTGATTATCGAATATAATGTGTGTGCATCCAAGGTGTATTTGTAGTTATCCAAGAACAAGGTCAATGTACTTGTTTACATTGTGAGAGGTTTTGTTTCCGGGGAATTTGTTTGCATGCGCCAAAATGGATACAGATCTGGAGAACGAGATGATGGACGAGCAGGATGAACAAGACGAGCATTTGCTGGATGATGATTGTGAAGATATGGCTGGCAATGCCAGCAATGAGGAGGCAAATGATGCAGCCGAGCTGGATGATTCAAATTTTGTTTTCAAGCGACTGCTGAGGAAACAGGCTGGACAATCCAAGGAGCATTGTGCCAAAGAAGAAAGGAATGCTACCATCAAAAAAGTATAATGTTGAATTAAATGATTATTTAGTAAATTAATGCGTAAACTTACAGGTTTCTTGTATACTGCAAAAAGCAGAGAATGAAAGAACTTCAGATGAACTTCTCGTGTTGAAAGCCTGTGGGGAAATAGTGAAGGAAGTACAATCAAGGAGGAAAAAACGTGATGAGGCTAAAAGAAGACAGGAGGAGTTCGAGGAACCTTTGGATACTTTGAAAGCAAAGTGTACTATTCTAGCACAGGCGATTGCACAAAGTCAGCATCTGGTGATTTATACTGGTGCTGGCATCAGCACAGCTGCCAGAATACCTGACTATAGAGGCACTAATGGAATTTGGACCATGTTACAACAGGGCAAATCGATTGGGTATGTGCATAACCTCAAATAAACTAAATATAACCTTAAAAATACTACTTATTTGATGATTATGATGTTAATATTTGCAGAAATCATGATTTGAGCCTCGCCGAACCAACTTATACTCATATGGCTCTCTCAGAACTCTACAAACGCAACATTTTGAAATATGTCGTGTCACAGAACTGCGATGGCTTACACTTGCGCTCAGGTTTACCACGCACTGCGCTCTCTGAAGTACATGGTAACATGTACGTCGAGGTTTGTAAAACCTGCAAACCTTCCCGGGAATACTGGCGATTGTTCGACGTCACCGAAAACACAGCGCGTTATTCACACAAAACAATGCGGAAGTGTTACGTGTGTAATGGCGCCCTGAATGACTCCATCGTCCATTTTGGTGAACGCGGTAGCCTACTCTGGCCGTTGAATTGGTCCGGCGCGAGTAAAAACGCACGCAAAGCCACCACCATTGTCTGTTTAGGCTCTAGTCTAAAAGTTCTCAAAAAGTACCCGTGGTTATGGCAAATGCACAAGCCAGTCAAACGTCGTCCGAATTTATACATTGTAAATCTCCAATGGACGCCGAAAGATGACTGCGCGAATGTGAAAATCCACGGTAAGTGCGATCTCGTGATGAAAACAGTCATGGATTTGTTAGGTATACAAGTACCAACCTACGAACGCGAAAAAGATCCGATTTTTGTGCATGGAACACACCTGTTAGAGCATGAATTACACACGACAACGCAGCCATTGTTGAAAATCTGCGGTAAAAACACGCCGGGAAAGACTGCGATTGAGGTTATCGAACGCGCCGAGGCTATCAAAGCGGAAAACGCGAAGAAACACGAAGCGAAAGAGGTTAAGATTGAAAAAAGCGAGCCACAGGAGAGTACAGCACAACAAAATGGCTGCCAAGTTGCGAATGCAGCTGTGAAAACTGAAAAAATGAACCTGACGATGACAAACCGATCAACTACAGTAAGCATCCCAACTCCACGTCCGACTGTGATACGATAAGCAATATTTATAGCATAGACAAAGTCCCACTCACGCCCACACCTCAGCCAGCAAACAAAACGAACAGCGATGGTCTTCCAATGCGTAACAATCTCTTGCAAGCAACAAATATGTGGAATACACCTCAGGCTGCACATTCAAACTCAATGAGTATGCAGGACACACAAAACCTACTGCAAAGTACACTATTCACGCAAAATTGTCAAGCATTGCTGACTTATTATCAACTATCGAATACGTTACTACAAAGTCCGCTTGGTCTGCAAGCCTATCGCGATATGTTGTACCCGTTGCAAACAAGTTTACTATATTCGGGTCTGCATAGCATCATTAATCCGATGCCATTCCTCACTGACACTTCAACAAACATCAAAGAAGAGATTAAAGAGAAGGAAGAGGATCCCGAACCTACTTGTGATTATTGCTTTGAGAATTACAAGTCGTCTACGTGTGTATTCTATGAAAAACTGGAGCCGGGTTTCGCCAAGCAACAGTCAAGGTATAGCAAGACAGAAAACTGTCAGAAGCCGTTGTATTGTCTGTGTTGTGATTATACAACCGAAGAGGAAGATGAGGAGAATGTGGAAGGTGTACCTCCGCCTGATAAAATGTCCAAGTTGCAGGAGGTTGAGGCTAGTGGAGAGCAAAAGGAGAAGGCGAAGATTCAGCCCGGTTGGTATGGGAAAGGTTACAGGAAAAACAAAAAGAACCGGAAAAAAGCCACCGGGCAATATTAAGCTATGACTCGAGTTGATGATTCAGATCAGATCAGTATTAGGGTGTTTCTCGTGAGAGTGTCTCCGTGGTCGAATTTATCTGTACATATTTTGCAAGTATTATCGAATTCTTAAGTTTCCGATCAAACTTATCCACATGCGCGCGCGCCATCGGGTGGCCGCTTCAGTTATTTATTGTTACATTTCGTCGTTCATCATTTTCATCATTGTACTGAATGTTTTGTGATTTTATTGCCTAGTTGAATAAGAAATTAACTAAGTGACTAAAGAACTACTCTATTTTTGTGTAGGTTATCAACTTATTTTTGGAATGGATAGTAATCCAAGCCAGTATTGTAGTTGAATCTTGGTTTGTCGTATTTTCTTGCATTCTTGATCATCTCTTGTACATCTGGTCTGTATGGAGGTGGTTGGAGTTCTTCATGCAGAGTACATTCTGGGATGGGATCTAATTCTTTTTTGTAAATTCGTCGTCGGATGATGTCTACGTCACGTGCGTATTCTTCTTTGAGGTCATCAATGCATGCTGGAGGTGCATTGAATTCCATTATGAAATAACTGAATTTGAAGGAATTTTTGATTATTTTGTTGAAATTGCTTTTAAAATGGGTTTGGATTTACCTAGCTTTATTGTATACTACTCCATGGTTGCTTGTTTTATATGGCATGTCTCTAGTGCCTAGATTTTCAATGTTTCTGATGATTCCAGACTTGTCGAAGATGGAAGATGAAATTCTTTTGAGGGTTGTTGCCAATTCCAACTATAAATTCGTTATTTTTTCAGTTATAGTGAAGATATATCGTGGAATATTGTGTATTTACCTTTGGCATTACTCTTAGAAGCACACATAATTCATAAGTTATCATTTTTTATACTTTTGGAGTTATTTAGGATGTTTGGTAATATAGAATCACGTTCGGTTTCAAGTTGAATATTGTGAGGTTAAATTAGTTTTGATGTGTTGTGGGTTGCCTATAGTGAATGGGTAAAATGAAGAAAATAAACAGGGTTACCATAAGTTAAATTATATTGGGATATAATTAATGGAAAAAACAAGAAATAGAGGACATTAGAATGCTCCTTAGTGCTGTTAAAGTATTGGTACATACCTACAGATAAGGAGGGGATAGTAAGTAGCTGCCTAATATAGGTCTACTGAGTTTTAAGTCTCTTTTTCTACACTAGGGACGCGAACAAAGATGACACTCTGCCTTGACATGTCTTTTACTTCCATTTTAATAATAATACAATCAAATAACAAGTCGCATATTATTTATCTCGTATTAGCTTCAATCCAACTCTTTGCAAGATAAATATTTGTGAAGAAATCTGGTTTGTTGGGATTACAATGGACATTCATGGTAACCACACCCACCAATTCATCATTAGAATCAACCAGTGGACCACCCGTATCCCCAAAACAGACACTTTGCCCATTTCCATCTGTATCCAGCGCACAAATCTTCCCAGTTATAGTCTCCCCAGGTGAAGCTTCTGCACACTCCTCAGCATTGACCACAGTCTGACTCATCCAATGCAGGTCATTAGAAATCTCGCCATTATACGTAGTATATCCCCAACCAGCAGAGGTCACCTTTTCATTATCAGGCACTGGGCTAGTAGACACCTTGATAGGCTGTACCTTTTCATTGAACTCAATATCCTCAGCCAGGATGACAACAGCAATATCATTAGTAAACTCATACGGGTTATAATCAGGGTGGATGATGAACTCCTCAACATGTACACGTGTGGCAAACTTGTCATCAATGGTGGTTGTACCCACCACAGCAACCATCAATGGTTCCCGGACATAGCGACAATGCGCGGCGGTGAGCAGAGTCCTCTTGGAGATGATGGTAGCTCCGCAGAAGTGGAAATTCTCACTTTCAATACGCAGGGAAACAATGTAGGGTAATTGACGTGGTAGGGCCTCCCAACCTCCTACTATCCTCGTGTTAGCAGGCACACCTAAAGGATTAAAGTTATTTTGAGGTTAGATTTGTATTTTTCAGGTTTATACCATTGGCCAGTGCCAGAACAGCACATAAACACAGTATAATCACTGCTTTCATGGTGATAACAGAGCACAAACTGATCAAAACAACTTAATAACCCATTTTATATCATAAGATATCATTAGGAAGTACCTACTTGAGTGTGTGCACGTGAAAACAATTGAAAATTTCATGATCAACTTATTTATTGAATGTGATCTTCAATCCAAGTTTTAAAATAGAAAACATCAGTGAAAAAATCTGGTTTTCCTGTGGCGCAGAGGAAAGCCGATGAGGTGACACCCACTAGTTCCTGGTAGTAATCCACAAGTGGACCACCTGAGTCCCCGGAACACATTCCATGTCCCTCCATTTCCAAAACACAAATTTTTCCTGTTATGGTTTCACCAGGGGCCATTTCGTGACACTCCTCAGCATTGACCACATTCTGGTTCATCCATTGGAGGTTGTTGGGAGCTTGTCCTGGATATGAGGTGTAGCCCCATCCAGAACTGGTCAGCCTTTCGTTATCCTGGACTTTCCTACTTGCTAGTTTAAGAGGTTGTACCATATCGTTGAATTCAATGTCTTCTGTTAGGATAACTACTGCTATGTCATTGATGATACCACTTGGGTTGTAGTCAGGGTGGGTGATGAATTCTTTTACGGGGATACGACGTGCGTTGTCGTCATCTAAGCGGGTTGTTCCGATGATGGCTACGATGTATTCAACGTCGATGATTTTGCAATGGGCGGCGGTTACCAGGGAGCGTGGGGTTATGATGGTTGCTCCACAGAAGTGGTAGTTGTTGTAATCCGTGCGTAGGGAGACGATGTATTTGAATTGACCAGGTTCAGCGTCCCAACCTCCTACTATCTTTGTGTTGAGAGGTGTTCCTAGGGTTTTAGAACAGTTTAGAGTTATTTTGAGGTTATTTGTGGTTATTTTGAGGTTTTAGAAGGTTTACCATTGGTGAGGGCCACTAAAGCACAGAAACACAGTAAAATGGTGGCTTTCATTGTGATGAATAAAAGGGAACTGGTCGAAATTATAAAGTAGGTGTTTTTATATTATCAGATTGTTGTTAGATTCTGGTTAAATTTGTTTTATATTTACATTTACTTTGTTTGGAGTGGTTCCAGGTGAGAACAATTGATCAATTGAACTTTGACCCTGAATAATCTTTGATAAAATGTTTATTATAGACCATACTTTAGAGGTACTTAGAACACTTTGTATTATTGTTGTTAACCAGGGCAATTGACCTCAAATGGTTGACCAATTGACCCCAATTTGGGTTTTGGAGCTGTTGACCTAAACTATGCAACATATGTTACATATAACTAAGCCAGGTTTTCCCCCCACTACTTTTTGCGGGTTTGCAGGTATAAAAAGTCTTTGCGTAGTGCCCACAGTGGTCAATCCGGCCTATGTTGCCCAGGGGATCAGATACAGCTCTCTAGGTTCCTCTTCTATCTTGGATTTTAGGTTAGGTTAGGTTTGCGCATGCAAACTGCTTTTAATCTATTTATTGAATATTTGCCTCTATCCACCTCTTAAAATAATAAACATCAGTAAAGAAATCCGGCCTCCCCCTGGCACATCGGAACCCTGAAGACGTAACCCCCACCAACTCCTGATACCTATCCACAAGTGGCCCACCCGAATCCCCTGAACACACACCTTGTCCCTCCATCTCCAAAGCACAAATCTTCCCAATTATATTCGTCCCAGGTTCCATCTCTTGACACTCCTCAGCACTGACCACATTCTGGTTCATCCACTGCAAATTATTAGGAGCTTGTCCTGGAAATGACGTGTATCCCCACCCCGCACTAGTCAACCTTTCATCACCCCGAACTCTTCTACTCGTCATCCTAATAGGTTGCACCATATTAGTAAACTCAATATCCTCATCCAGAATTATCACAGCCACATCACTCCTGTATCCATATTGGTTATAATCAGGGTGTGTGATGAAGTCTATAACTGTGTAGCGATCTGCTGCTTCATCATCCAAACGAGTTGTGCCCACAACAGCAACCATGTCGTCTATATCAATGACTTTGCAATGGGCAGCGGAGATTAGCGTACGGGTGGTGATAATGGTAGCTCCACAGAAGTGATGGTTGTTGTTATCATCACGAAGGGAAGCGATGTATTTGAATTGACCTGGGTCAGCATCATAACCTCCAACTATTTTTGGTTCGATTGAAAATTGCTGTGCTGAAATAAAAATAGGATTATTTTGAGGTTATGTTAGGTTATATTAGAGGGAGTATGATACATACCATTGGGAAATAGCAGAAAAACACAGAAAGACGTTATAAATATGGTTTTCATTATGAGAATTGGATATAAACTGTTAAAAAGTATAAAATTTGAGGTTTTTATATGAATTTTTGTTTAATTTAATCAGGAAATTCCTTTGGTATTTGATTTACATACACTTGAAGGTGTAAACAATCAAATATTAAACATTCAATTCAACTTAAATCTCAATTACTCTCCAAATCAAATGAATTATGTTTATTAACATGTTAATATTGTTTATTTTAGGGAAAAACGCAGTGTTTTAATAAAAACAGTAATATTTTGATATTATGTGTGGTTATATTAGTGTTAGTATGACATATACCATGGGAAAATGTCAGAAAAACACTGAAATCCCTACTAATATTATAAATGCGAAAGTTCTGATGTTTGTTACACTTTCACGCAAAAACTACATAACCGATCATCATGAAAATTTGTACACATATTCTTAGTGGTCCCCGAATGATTATAGGCTACTTTTTATTTAAGAAAAAAAAAATTTCTTAAATAAAATAAAGAAATTGTTTAGCCAATAATACCTCTGCATCTGGCTATTTGACTACTTTAACGCCATCTAGCATTCCAGCAATGAAGCTCAAACCTAAGTACTATAGTACCATCACACTGTATTATCACACTGTATTACCGACAGCTACGTCAACATCAAATCCAATTGACTACACTATGGAGACTGTACACTATACTTCCATAGACTATACTTTCAGCCATTTTAAACTTCCCGCCATTCTACTTCATTGTTACTTCTTCTAAGACAACAATTTCATTATTTTAGATATTCGCGAGCGAAGCCGTGGGATGAAGCTAGTATGTTATAAAAATGGTTTTTATCATAACGATAGGATATTAATTGATAAAAACCATAAATTTTATATTTTTATATCAATTTCTATTTATTTCAACCAGGAAATCCCTCTCATATTTGATTTACATGCACTTGAAACTCTAGACAATCAAATATTGACCTTTGAAAGCATCTTAAACCATCAATCAACTTCTAAACTCTCAACTCAAAATCAATCAATATTTATTCAAACATAATTAAACAGCGTGTTCAACAATCCAATCCTTAAAGTAATAAACATCAGTGAAAAAGTCGGGTTTGCCCAACGCGCAAAGATAAGCAGCGGATGTGATTCCCACAAGTTCACCTTTGCTGTTGACCAATGGACCACCAGAATCCCCAGAGCAGATACCATGACCCTTCGATTCCAGCGTACAGATCTTTCCAGTTACAATCTCACCAGTTTGAGCAGAGCAATCATTCTGACTTAAGACATTCATCTGCATCCATTGCAAATCATTTGGTACGGAACCAGGGTATGAGGTGTATCCCCATCCACTGCTGGTAACACGTTCATTATCAGCTGGTCGGGAGCTAGCCAATGGCAGAGCAGCGACTAAATCATCAGAGAAGTCAATGTCTTCGGTGAGAATGACAACACCTACGTCATTGGTAATGGTGCTTGGGGTGTAGTTCTCATGGATGATGAATTGTGCGACCTTGTAACGCCTGGCGTTGCCATCGTTTTGTTTTGTGGTTCCTACCACGGCGATCATGCTGTCTACATCATAGACTTTGCAATGGGCGGCGGTGGCCAGGGTGCGTTTACCAATGATGGATGCACCGCAGAAATGGCTGTTGCCCAGGGAGCGGAGGGAGGCTTGGTGTTTGAATTGGCCGGGGGAGGCGTTTTGACCACCGACGATACGGTTGGTGTTTGCGCCTGGAGAAAAAATGTTAAATTAATATTTTGAGGTTAAGTAGTGGGGGTTATGTGTACTTACCATAGGTAATGGCGACGAGCGCGCAGAATACAATGAATGCCTTCATTTTGACTTGGTTTTTGGTTTGGGATTTGCGCTTTTATACTTTATGCTAGACCAGATTAATTATAATCTGTAGATTCAGTGATTGATAATTATGTTGTTTTATTATTAAATACGGATGTGGAAACAAAGGATTTTGAAGTGGTTGATTTTGTAAGTGATTTTATCTTGTTATTTGATTGTGTGAATTGGAAAAACAAGTTTGAGTCAGTTATATTTATAGTTTTACTAGCTTTAACCCGTGATTTCGCTCGCGAATATCTAAAATAATGAAGTTGCTTCCGTACGCGTCTGTAGTCACAGAAGAAGTAACAATGAAGTAGAATGGCGGGAAGTTTAAAATGGCTGAAAGTATAGTCTATGGAAGTATAGTGTACAGTCTCCATAGTGTAGTCAATTGGATTTGATGTTGACGTAGCTGTCGGTAATACAGTGTGATAATACAGTGTGATGGTACTATAGTACTTAGGTTTGAGCTTCATTGCTGGAATGCTAGATGGCGTTAAAGTAGTCAAATAGCCAGATGCAGAGGTATTATTGGCTAAACAATTTCTTTATTTTATTTAAAAAATAATTTTTTTTATTAAATAAAAAGTAGCCTATAACCATTCGGGGACCACTAAGAATATGTGTACAAATTTTCATGATGATCGGTTAAGTAGTTTTTGCGTGAAAGTGTAACAAACATCAGGACTTTCGCATTTATAATATTAGTAGAGATAGGGATTGAGTGAAAGTAGTAAATGTGTGATGTTGGTTGCATACATTAACATCTAACTTATGAAAACACATATTTATGGTAATAGTACGTAATTTATTAGTAATTTCTTTGACAAATACCAAAAATAATCAAAATTGAGCAATGTCATTGATGGTAATACCATGTTGTAAACAAGTTTTATCTAATTCGTCTATAATATTAGATTTTAGTTTGATAAGTGCGTGTAAATAACAGTTTTTGGATTATTTCGAGTACAAATCAACTCTAGATTAATATTTTTCCAAGTTAAAATAGATTTTGAGTTTGCAAATTCACTTTTAGTTGTTTTCACTTAATCTTAATCAGCTTATCACCTAATTTTTGTTAATTATTAATAAATCACGTAGCAGATATATTTCAACTCATATGCTTACGTGTATCGTTGGTTGCCTACAATAAAACACCAACCTAAAACAATATTCAATTAAACTTGGCGAGTTTCCTAATTAATCCGAAATAAGTTTGTTTCAATAGTGAAGTTGCGCAAATATTTACGCTCATAAATCCATTGTCATCGAGGTTAAAACGAAAAGTTGATAATAATAGTTCCACCTCGTTAGAAAGATCAACAACAGGTCCAGTTATATCCACATGTCGCGTTTGCATTTGCATTCGAGTTTAGGAATATTACCGCGAGGGCACAAAAGTAAAGGAATATATGCGTGAGCACACAATGGACGGCAGCGCAATTAATGTTCGTAAAAAGTTGCGAACCCGCCGCAGGTAAAAGTGTTAAAATATTAACTAGCGTAACCCGTGCTCCGTTAGCCGTGGGCACGTTCCACGTCTTAATATACAGTATGTTTAGCTGAAAAATAAATAAAAGTAAATTTGGATTTTTTGCGTGATTAAATTTAAAATTTTACGTTTATTTACGGTGTGATGAGGGTTTGTTTACCACGCGAGTTTTGTTTGAAGTGATTACGAGCGGTTTAATTTCCGTTTGGACGTTCTGGTATAATACCAGAGCGATCATCTATAATGAAAGTTATAAAGCAAAGTTAGTTTGATTAATTTACACCGTTTAATCTGGCGCCGTTGCCGAAAACCAATTCGCAATCATTATTTGAATTGTACCGTCATGCATTGTGTGAGTAGAACATTCAATCTTCATAATTAAGACATGAAAATATTACGTTATGTTGTTTGTGCTGTTTGGGTTGCCTATGTTAGCGCTGCGCGTCCAAGAGAATCAAATGTCTTTACATAAATTTCGACGACGTATGCGTTTGTTTACACGCACTAAAAACTCAAATTCTTAGCGCACGTTGAAGATGAAGATGAAAGACCTTGGAAGCCCTCAGACAACGAGATTTATTTCAGCCCCCATGAACATAGATCAAGACGATTAGAGGGTGCGAAGATGCTGCGGTCATGTTGGCTTACAGCGACGCCTGGCGTAAATACTCACATTCGCAAGCAAACACGTTATAATTGTAAATCCCGCGCAGTCATGTGGTAGGCAACCCAATGTACAGCTGAAAGATTTGAGGAAAGCTCGGATTCGCGCGCAAGACGGATTGGATGCTCGTGCAGTTCCTTCATGATGGTAAATATTCATGTGAAGCTCAAAAAGCGCTGAATATTATCCCTTGATGCGCGTGCATGATTTACATACTGGAATTATCTTTTGTGTCTTTTAATATATGCAACCAATAGTGCATGTATGCTACAAGTATATCCAACTCACAGATAATTAGAATACCGAACAAAATGTGAGCACAAAAACAAAAGTTTCGAGACAGTTTAGCGAGGTTATGATTGACCGCAGTCCGTTCTGTCATCTTTTATCCATTAGGACGACATTAACTGCGCAAAAGCAGCGAAACAAAACGCAAACAAAAAAGCAAATTACGAACGCGTTTAATAAATTATTATTTTCGGCGCGGGCGCGTACGGCGAATATTATTAATGTTGTTATAATGTGTTATACTATCATTTGTTGTATAAACATTCGGCGTTGTTTGTTGTTGTTGTTTTGTTTGCGTTTCAGTTACATTTTGCGCATCGTCACCACACCAGCTGCAAAAAAACACTCACATTCACATAGGACAAATATTTATTTACTTAATAATCCAATTAAAATTGGAAACACCTATTTCAATTTTTAACACCGTGTAATCCAGCGTCAAATGTATTCGTTTCGTTAATTGGAAGGCAACACAACAACGAATTTAATAATTAAACTACGCACACGTAGGCAACCCAATACACACAGCAGTGTGTAACGTGAGAAAGTGTCAAAATGCGCGCGTGGAAATTTCTAAAGCGTTGCATTTTTGTTATTTGTTGTAATTGTAGCGTGGAGGGTGCACGGTTGCAATCGATGAACGCGCAATATGTGGGTGTGCAGCGTGCACATGCAACATGGGTAACAATAGACGCTGAATTATTTACTTCAATTTCGTGCGCGCTAATCGGGCGCACGGTGCATAATCAACGCGGCGCATAATTATGCTTATAACGCGAGGATGCTCCCGGATTCGCAAACAAATTTCACGCCTCTTCGCATCGGGTTTCTCACACGCGATGCCCTGCACGATAAACTATTTGCTGTATGTTTAAATTTATTGTATTTATTGGGGGGTGTAATTTAATATAGGCAACCCAGGATGCATTCGGTGAAGTGGGTTTTTAAAGTGGAATAACTCAACAATTAAAAATTATAGAAATTTGATTTAAATTTTGTTTGATAGGGAATTTTATGGAGAATATTTGGTATAAAGGACGTGTTTGGATAATTTTTGTTTTTGAGTTAATACGCAAATTAGTAAAATGTGGAAATTATGTAATTTTGAAGTTTAAAATCGTGATATCTCAGAAACTAGAAGACTTGGATCATTAATTTTGATTTCTTTAGTTAAAACTCAACATCTACTTTCATCTTTGATAAATTTTTATTTTTTTCTAGTTTAATCTTAAAGATATTTAAGAAAAACCAAAAAAATACTAAAAAAACGATGAAAAATTATCGCATTCAGTGAAGTGGGTTTTTAAAGTGGAATAACTCAATAATTAAAAATTATAGGAATTTGGTTTAAATTTCGTTGGATAGGGAATTTAATGGAGAATATTTGGTCCAAAGGACGATTTTGGGTAATTTTTAGTTTTTGAGTTATAGGCAAATTAGTAAAATGTGAAAATTTCGTAAAAATTAAGTTTAAAATCAAGGTATCTCAGAAACTAAAAGACTTAGAACATTAATTTTAATTTCTATAGGTAACACGTAATGTCTACTTTCATATCAGATGATTTTTAATAATTTTTATAGTTTTATCTTAAAGATATTTAGGAAAAACCAAAAAAATACTAAAAAAAAGATGAAAAATTATCGTATTAAGTGAAGTGGGTTTTTTAAAGTGGAATAACTCAATAATTAAAAATTATAGGAATTTGATTTAAATTTCATTGGATAGAGAATTTTATGGAGATTATTTGGTATAAAGGACAATTTTGGGTAATTTTTAGTTTTTGAGTTATACGCAAATTAGTAAAATGTGAAAATTGTCTAAAAATTGATTTTAAAATCATGATATCTCAGATACTAAAAGATTTAGATCATTTATTTAAATTTTTATAGTTAAAACTCAATGTCTACTTTCATATCAGATGATTTTTAATAATTTTATAGTTTTTCTTTGAAGGAATTTGAAAAAAACTAAAAAAATTCTAAAAAATCAATGAAAAATCATCAATAACTCCAAAACTATTACAAATTCAAACAATATTTATACTAATATTGATAGATAATTTAATTATCTACAATATTTGTTATAAACAATTAAAAATAAATGTATTGTTTGTTTATAATTTAAAGAAAACTCTAACAAAATAGTTTTAAGTGTAAAAAAGCTCAGAATTGCACCCACCAGTGTTGGTGTGTAACGTGAGAAAGTGTCAAAATGCGCGCGTGGAAATTTCTAAAGCGATGCATTTTTGTTATTTGTTGTAATTGTAGCGTGGAGGGTGCACGGTTGCAATTGATGAACGCGCAATATGTGGGTGTGCAGCGTGCACATGCAACAAGGGTAACAATAGACGCTGAATTATTTACTTCAATTTCGTGCGCGCTAATCGGGCGCACGGTGCATAATCAACGCGGCGCATAATTATGCTTATAACGCGCGGATGCTCCCGGATTCGCAAACAAATTTCACGCCTCTTCGCATCGGGTTTCTCACACGCGATGCCCTGCACGACAAACTATTTGTTGTGTGTTTAAATTCATTGTATTTATTGGGGGGTGTAATTTAATATAGGCAACCCAGGATGCATTCGGTGAAGTGGGTTTTTAAAGTGGAATAACTCAGTAATTAAAATTATAGAAATTTGATTTAAATTTTGTTTGATAGA